TTGGAAGTTGGCAAATATCACTCCAATCCATAAAAAAGGCTGCAAGGCTGACCCTAGTAACTACAGGCCTGTCAGCCTGACCTCGGTGCCTGGCAGAGTTATGGAGCAGATCATCCTGTGTGCAATCACACAGCAGCTACAGGATGGACAAGGGATCAGACCCAGCCAACATGGGTTTAGGAAGGGCAGATCCTGTTTGACCAACCTGATCTCCTTTTACAATCAGGTGACCCACCTGATGGATGAGGGAAAGGCTGTGGATGTGTCTATCTGGACTTCAGCAAAGCCTTTGCCACTGTCTCCCATAATATACTCCTGGAAAAGCTGGCAGCCCATGGCTTGGACAGGGGCACTCTGTGCTGGGTCAGGAACTGGCTGGAGGGCCGGGCCCAGAGAGTGCTGGTGAATGGGGCTGCATCCAGCTGGCAGCCGGTCACCAGTGGTGTCCCCCAGGGATCAGTGTTGGGCCCAGTCCTGTTTAACATCTTTATCGATGATTTAGATGAAGGGATTGAGTCCATCATCAGCAAATTTGCAGATGACACCAAGTTGAGAGGGAGTGTCGACCTGCCGGAAGGCAGGAGGGCTCTGCAGAGGGACCTGGACAGACTGGAGAGTTGGACTGATTCTAGTGGGTTGAGGTTCAACAAGGCCAAGTGCCAGGTCCTGCACTTTGGCCACAACAACCCCCTGCAGCGCTACAGGCTGGGCACAGAGTGGCTGGAGAGCAGCCAGGCAGAAAGGGACCTGGGAGTTTGGATTGACAGGAGGCTGAACATGAGCCAGCAGTGTGCCCAGGTGGCCAAGAAGGCCAGTGGCATCCTGGCCTGGATCAGGAACAGTGTGGCCAGCAGGAGCAGGGAAGTGATCTGTACTCTGCATTGGTGAGGCCACACCTTGAGTATTGTGTTCAGCTCTGGGCCCCTCAGTTCAGGAAGGATATTGAGGTGCTGGAACAGGTCCAGAGAAGAGCAACGAGGCTGGTGAAGGGACTTGAGCACAAGTCCTATGAGGAGAGGCTGAGGGAGCTGGGGTTGTTTAGTCTGGAGAAGAGAAGGCTTAGAGGTGACCTTAGAGGCTGCCCACCAGCCCATCCCTGGGGCTGAGGATGGTTTTGTCCAGGTAATTTCTGGACAAAAAGGCCAATCAAAAGTCCAGTGGCGCCTTTGCTAATTACATCTTCAAGAAAACGGAAGAGAAGGTTTGTTGGCGCAGTTGAAATTAGAGGCAGCAGCCATGTAGGGGAGAGGAGTAGCAGGCCCGAGCAGGGCCAGACTCCCTCCTCCCCCGGCTTGGGCCGGGGTGAGGGGAGCAGGTGTAGCACTGAAGTCTTCCCTTCTCTCTCGTAAGAGAGTGAAAAAAAAAAAAAGTTTAAAAGACGAACTGCTGGGACAGAAACCGCTGTGGAACAATTCCAGCGAAGAGATAAGGGACCTCCAAGGTCAAAACTAGCAGCCGGAGGAGAGAGAAGAAAAGTTTGAAGGGGGGAGAGCTGCTTCTTCCCCCTTTCGCTCTCTCTCTTCAGCAGGGAAAAGAGTGAAAAGTAAACCCTGCTACTTGTAAAAGTTTGTTGGAGTAAGGAGACCCCCCATGCGGCTGATAGAGGAGTCTGTGGATGTACCAAAGAGAACCGAGACTTCATGAGAAGGACTGAAGTGAGGCAGAGTCCTGGTCGAGATTTGTGACCCTGAGGGAAACCTGTGCTGGAGCAGTGACGACTCAGGTGGGATACTGGGATCCGTGTGTGTGTGGATCCATACTGCTGTTGAAGATTTTGTGACCCTGAGAAATCTCATGCTGGAGCGAGACGGCCCATGTGAGATGTTGGGATCCGTGTGTGTGTGGATCTGTGCTAGACCCATGCCGAGAAATCTATCAAGGACTGTTCTCCCATGGGGAGGGACCTCCATAGGGAAACAGGGGTGAACTCTTCAGCCATTATCCCCTGTAACCCTGTGGAAGAAGATCCATAGTAAGCAAGTGTCCCCTTGCAAGCCTATGGAAGGAAAACCCTTCGGGACCTGGGTAACCCCCAGCCTTCGGTCTTAGCCCAGGAGGGGGGTAAGCCCAGCCCTGGAAGCCAACACAGAGCGAGAAAGAGAGAGAAAAAGTTCCAGCTACAATGAGAATACTGCTGCTACTGAAGATCTATTACTAAAGAGAGAAAGAGAGCTGGAACTCCGAAAAAAGAGAATGAGACTACTTCTTCTCCTTGGACTAGTATAAAAGGGGAAGAAGTATTTCTGTAAATATATAGCACTTCAACTTGAGTAGAAATTGTTGTAGATATAGTTCTTTAGTTTTTAATTTATTAGTAATTTTTGTTTTACTAGTAATAAATGTTTATACTATTTTCCCCAAATCCTGTCTCTTTTTGTCTGCAAAAACCTTCTCTCAACTAGTAGTAATTGTGTGGGGGGTGGAAAGCAAATTGACCCAGAGCAAAACCACGACACCTCATCACTCTCTTCAACTACCTGAAGGGAGGTCATAGCCAGGTGGGGGTTGGTCTCTTCTCCCAGGCAACCAGCAATAGGACAAGGGGACATGGGCTCAAGCTCTGCCAGGGGAGGTTTAGGTTAGATGTTAGGAAGAAATTCTTTACAGAGAGGGTAGTCAGGCATTGGAACGGCCTACCCAGAGAGGTGGTGGATTCACCATCCCTGGAGGTTTTTAAAAAGAGATTGGATGTGACCCTTAGTGCCATGATATAGTAATTGGAGTTGGATCAGGGGTTGGACTTGATGATCTTGGAGGTCTTTTCCAACCCAATCTATTCTATGATTCTATGATTCTAAGCTCTTCCAAACCCTTATAGCAGAAATTACCATTGCAGGAATGAGAATGGGTCTTCTGTTTAGCTGAAGTATCAGCTCAGATGGATCTTGTTGCTGTGAAACTTAATTTTATTAAAATCATTAATTTTGTACTACATGGAGAATATTCACTGTTTCAGGCAAGTGTTTCTAAAGCACTGGAAAAATAAAGATTGTTCTGGGGTAATATCTTTTCTTGCCACATGTGAAAGTCTGTATCAAGCCAAACCAGCCCATCATCCCTGGGTAGCTTTGACCTCAGGCTATGCACAGGTAACTTAAGTGTAGGACTGGCCATCAGGAAAATCCTGAATGAAACTTGAATCTTACCCCCGGCAGCTGGGATATTTTAATTGGCCTTCACCAGTGCTCTTTTGTTGTCAGAAATACCAGTTAATTGACTTTTAAACATCAGAAACATGAATTTATTTCTTGGCAGCCTCACCTTCCTTTCTGCTGTTAGTTATTCAATTTATCAACCCAGTGCATTGGTTTGGCTTGTGCTATCAGATGTAAACTTACAAGAAGCAGCTGTATTCTGGCTCCTCTCCTTCCCTGCTCTGAAACACTCTCTTTTCTCACAGGCAGGACTGTGGTGGCGAAAAGTGGATCTGTGCTAGTTGTCCCAGGTACGAAAATTTCACTTTAAAACACTGATGTTGTATGTCAATAGACTTGGCTGGTTTTTAAAACCAGCCCTGGTTTGAACAAAAATTATTCAGTGGGGCAAAGTTCTTGTCACATTTGGAATGCGAAGTTCCTGGCATGCATTTGCCATGCAGTGCTTGGCCCAGTTATACATGTAGATTATGTTGTTCTGTAAATAGCATACAGCATTTTATTTTCTGGCAGGAATGGAGTAAATAAAAGCAGGCATAAACACTCTTCATAGCTCTTTGCCCCCTTCCCACCACCAGCATAGTGAGGGTAGGTGAGAATCTATACACTGAAATCAGACATTTTGTCTTAAACATTTTGTTTTCAAATAGCATCACTGCATAATGTACATTCAGGAGTCACAGAATACTGTCATTTCCCCACAATTACATGCCAATTAGCAGGTACGGCAGACATATTACCTGCTTCTTTTTAGCAGGCTATGTGTTGTCACAGTCCAGCCCTGGGACACTGGCAGGATAAGGAAGAAATTTGCTGTTGATAAACAGCATTCACTATGACATGGCAGAACTCCAAGCTTGATCCTGCTCCTGTAGACATTGATGAGAGTAGGATCAAACTGCTGATTTATCCAAATGTTCATTGCTGCTGGAACAGATTTGGAAGAGAAAAATAATAAAAAAAAAATCACTGAAATCTTTTAGAACCTGCATGAATAATTCTGCCTGTGAATATTTCTGATTGTCATTATTAGCTAATTATTTTGATGCTATTTTTGCTAGATCCAAACATTTCCTGTGTCAGTGACCCATTTTACTAGTGACATTTTAGCTTGTGAATGAGTTCAGGGAAGGCAGCCCTTGTCAATTGTTACCTTGCATGCAGAGTCTGATTTGGAACTTCAGAATCTCATTGTCAGATGATGTAATGAACAAAATACATTTCTGTCAGTTTCTAGTTAGGAAGCTGGTGTTTTTTCATGTTTGTCTATGTAGTTTTTTTCAACTAAGGTGGATTTTTGGACACATCCAGTGTCCAGCCCACCTGCAGTCGAGGGCTACCCAAGCATTAAATAATGGGAAGAACAGTTTCTTTCTCTCTGTCCAATGAATCTAGTAGAAGTCCCCATTGTGTGGAAATTTTAAAACATAGTTTGACGAAAACAACTCTGCTTAGAACAAAATTAGTGTTTCAATCTGTGTTCCATATTGCTCAAGTTGAGAGCATGGGGGTATCAAGGGAAGTGTAATGGATGGTGTAACATCCTCTTAGGGGCTACAGCACCAGGATGCCTTTGAGCTACAAAGAAATCAGTGAGAACTGACGATGTGCTCCTCTGACAGCGACTCATTAATCCTGTGCATTTTGTTCAGATTGATGATGGTTCGCAGTGGAAAAAGTGGTGGGCTCCACCTGAAGCAGATTGCATACTACAAGAGAACAGGGGAGTATCATCCCACAACACTGTCAAGTGAAAGAAGTGGAATCAGGAGGGCAGCGAAAAAATTCATTTTCAAAGGTAAAAATCTTCTCTCAGATTGCTCTGAAAATAGATATTTGGGTGAAGATTTGCTGATATGAGAAAAAAAAAAAAAAAAAGAAGTGGGCTCTTGCTCTGCAGCTGTAGACGAGGAATGCTCTCTCCTGTCTGGAGGATGCTGTGTATGGCTGGGCAGAAGTGCAAGAATGACTGCCATCAGTCACCAAAGAGCCTCCGTGCCCTTCCCAGCTTTGAGGCCCTGTGGGGAGATATTTGTAGTGTGCTGTGTTCTCTCAGTCCCATCAAACCTGCCAATTCTAGGTAGAGGGAAGGCAGGGAGGAGTTAAAGCTGTGACTTATAGTGTCATGTTGCTGGCAGGCACATAACAACTTCTCAAACAGCAAAGACTCAGCACTCCTAACTTCCCTTTCCACCCTTGAGATTCAGTCAGACTTTCTGTGGGATCACTGTTTGCATTTTGACCTGCCTTTGTAACACCTCAAGTCCTCATCAATAAACGTAGGTGAACTGATGGCTCTTTGGAGGAAATAATTTAAATATTTGTAAACAAAAAACTACATTTACACTGAAGTGAATTGAAGTTACTGTAATCAGTTCTGTTCTGAATCATGCTCAGGAGTTTATTAAAATAAACAAAATGACAAAGCACTTGCACATAATTTCCTGGTAATTTTTTTTCTTTCAGATAATAAATTGTTCTATGTTGGAAAAGATAGAAAACAAATGCGCCTGGTGATTGTTTCAGATGAAGAGAAGAAAAAGGTGCTCAAGAAATGCCACGAAAATGCTGCCGGTGCTCATCATGGGATATCAAGGACACTGACTTTAGTGGAGTCTAATTACTACTGGACCTCTGTAACAAATGATGTCAAACAGTGGGTATGGTCTCATAGCTATAGGATAATTTTTTATGTAGTCTGTTAGTTACAAATGTTTTGCAGTCCTATGGCTTTGGTCCAGCAAGTAGCTGGACTGTTTCTCGATGAGGAAACATGAGCTCGCAATCAGATGGAAAATGGTCATCTTGGTGTTTCTTTTTTACCCCGTTACTACTGACAACATGGCTTTCACACTTCTGTACCTGCTGGTGGGGAACCATAATGCCCTTCAAGGCGGATCCAGCCTTGGAGAGTGATTTCTCTTGACTTACTTTTGTTAGGATGCAATGTGCCATCCCAAGGATATGTGGCCAGAATATCCGCTGGCAGATGAGAATGTGAAAATGGTGTTTCTGCCTTACAATTAGGTGTGTTCACAAAATAGTTAAACAAATCACTGCTTTGGAAAGTTCCTTATCCTCCTCTACCCAAAGACACAAGGACCTAGTCCCCTGGTAGAGTTCGATCCTTCAGGGAACTGTATGTAAATGTCCTTTAAGGCCAAACTGCTGTTGCTATGGGCTTGTGGCATCATTTGGATACTTTAGGGTCATGTGCAACTGTAACATGAACTGAAGTTGAGTCTGTGCCTTCAACTCAGGACAGAGGGACTCTGTCATGGAGATAAAGCTGATCCATGTTATGAGGTAGCCTTATGTATTGCCAGTGTTTTTCAGCCACAGCATGCATAGGTGAACCAAAAGGGACTTCATTTCAGTCCCAGCTGCTTCATGCTTCCTTTAGTATTTACAGATGGTAATGCACTGGAAAGAGCACAGTGCTTTCAGGATGGAGGGAATTCAGCTATGAGTTACTACGCATGTCTTTCACCTGGCCTTCACTACTGTTTGGTTTTATTTGGGTTTTATGAGCTAATTTAGAGAGGAATAGTATAGATCTATGATTCTGATGATTGTCTTAAACCTTCACCTTTGGTTTTTATTGGTAACATCTTTCCTGATGTTTACTCTAGGTGTATGCTTGCCAGCATTGCCAAGTGGCAAAGAACACAACCGTCACTGTGCCCAAACCACAACCTTTCAAAGCAGAAGACCCATGGACAGCAGTCACTATAGAGCTTATGGGACCTTTTAATATTACAAACAAAGGTCACAAATACATTATAATTATGACGGATTTGTTTACACGCTGGACTGTTATCTTACCACTGTGTGACACTTCAGCAGCTGAAATTGCTAAGGCACTCATAAATGTGTTTTTCTTATATGGACCACCTCAAAAAATGCCTACTGATCAAGGGAAGGAGCTTGTTTATCAGGTAAGTGTTTACATAGGTGATTAATCTTTTTTTTCCAAGAAAAAAACCCACATTTTCTCCTATATTGGATTTGAATTTTAGACCATTCTTGAGAAAGACTCAAGGATTTTTTTCTTCAATTTAAAAAGTAAAAAAGAAGTTAGCACACGCAGAAAATGGCAAACCAGTTATTTGTAATTGTAACATTATGCAATGTTTCCCAGGGCTTTATTCAGATAAAGCAAAAGTGTTTCCTGGCAGTCATAGTGCAGGTTTTGTCATTCATTTGAACTGGCATGATTTTTCACTGTGTTGTATTTCATTCATCCACATTGTCCAGGAAGCAAGAGCAAAGGCTATTTTTGACATTGGCCTATGGTTATTATGAGGAACCTATCATGCTTTGATCCTCTTAGAGATGGTAAAATCATCAGACCGTGACACAGAGGAAATGACAGATTGAGTTAAGAGGCAGAAGTGTGGTTAGAAACCATGAGTTACTGACTCCTAAGCCATACTTACTCCTTTAACTCTCACTCACAACCCTGGAGTGTTGGGTGTCAATATGTATTACGTATGAAAGACTTTCCTCAGTCACCATCATATCAACAAAAGGGGTGTTTACTTGAAATGGGATAAAGAAGAAGGGAAATGTTCACTAATTGTGTTCTTTTCTCTTTTGAAGATAAATGAAGAACTATTTGCACTGTTTGGAATGAAACAGATTGTATTGTCTTATCCTCAGACAGATAATGTAAATGACAGAATGTCCAAGACAATCAAAGCTTTTCTTAACAAGTACTGCATTGACTACCCAAATGATTGGGATGAACATTTGTCTGCTATTGCCTATGCTTTCAATTTGACAAATTTGGTATGTGAAGGTTCTTCCTCTTTTGACTGAAGTCCCCCAAAATGTCTCCAAAGCTGTGTGCTAAATTTGCTTGCTTTTGGTTCCCATTTAAATAGGAGCCAAATCAAAACACTCCATATTTCCAAATGTTTAAACGTAACCCATATGTTGTTGAGCCAATGAATATATGTGTGGAAGGAGAATACAGTGTGTTTGCCAAAATATTTGAAGCAACTAAAAAAGTCAGTCAAGCACTGGAAGAAGAGAAGACCTCGGATTGCCAGGTAAATGTTATCTATTCAAATTTTGCTAGTAAGAATACTGAAAATAAAAAAGATGTAAAGGCTTGAAGCACAAAGTATAACTAACCTTTTAAAACAACATTGGAGTTTGTGTGGTGGTTTTTAATTTGTTTTCCTTCCCATGCTATGGCTAGATTTCAGTGTAACAAATCTCATATGTATTTGGAGGGAGTAACCTGGCCTGTTGTCAAAAGTTTACTGTTTCTGACTTACAGGGCTGTGTATCAACAGAAGCCGAAAACTGTTGCCTGTAGACTGTTGATTTATGAAGATAAAGTCAATTTCTTCATAACTCTTCAGCCCTACATGAACTATACGCAGCCAAAACAACTCGATGTTATGTTTATGCACTCTTTAGCAGGGCTATGTAAATGCATTATTTCTTATCAAAAGAAAGAAAATATAATTCATATGTATCTTCCTGCAGGTGGAGAAAAACACCTCAGATGAACAAAAAGTCAGAAACAAAATCACAGTCAAAAGGAAGCCAAAACAATTAAATAGCCTGCGACTTAAAGTTGGTCATGAAGTCCTCAGGCAGAGAAAAAACTGGTGGAAGGATGGTCGTTTCCAGTCAGAATGGGTTGGTCCTTGTATTATAGATTATATCACAGATGATGGCTGTGCAGTATTAAGAGATGCCACAGGATCCAGGTTGAAAAGACCCATCAAGATGTCTCACCTCAAGCCATACATAAGAGGGTCCAGTGAAAAAGGTATGTGTATATATATATATATATGTAATTTCTTTTAATTTATATTTTTATATATGTGAAAAAGGTTGCATTTTTTTGTTGTTGCTTTTTTTTTGTTTGTTTGGGTATTTTTTAACTTCTCTATTATGTCTTGGTGTTAGATTACGAGGATGACAAAATACCATTCACTCACCAGTGGGAATTGAATTAACACTATATAATAATGCAAAAACTGTTTTTCAGAAGTGACTGAGTGACGTAAAACCTATGCAGAGCATAGAACAGAGCTAATGAGTCATGTCTGAAGTCCTTTTAAAAATAACCTCTATTAAAGTTGCTTCTAATCTCTGGTCTGGCTCTATTCATCCTGGTTGGCTAAACATGCTAGAAGTATGAGCAGGCTGAACTGTGTTCAAGAAGCATTTTCTGGATGTGTTTCTGTTTTGGTGTAGACAGAACTCACATTAGTTCTATTTTTTTGTTGTTGTTCAGCCTGACTAGTGCAGATGGCACATGTTTGGACTTTCTTTTCTTCAACATCAGAGTATCCTCTAAAGCCTTGAAGTAGAAAGACTACATCAGAGAACTGATTTTTGAATAGTTTATTTTGAATTGTACTACTGAAGAAGTAAATATGTTTCTCTTACCAGAGCAAATAAAATTGTCATGCTCTGCCGTAGGATTGCTATTTGGGTAACCAACTCCTGCTCTTCGTCTTGGACACTCAGCACGTCCTTTTGCAGTGCTACCACATTAGTCAAACAGTGGCAGCTGTTTCTTTTCTGTTTGTGCTGTCTTTGAGTCACCACAGGCATTTTGAGGAAAATAAATACTCAGTGTTCAGAAGACTTATGTCACAGATCAAGCTGCTTTTTACATCAAGGTTCTTGAAAAGGAAAGCAGTTCCCAAACCATGTGTTACTAAGCTTTGGTTCTTGAAAATAAGTAAACGACATTGAGATCGTAATATCTTCCATCATGTCTTTAAGCTGAGGGATTTAAAAAGCTGAAACTAATTCTGGAATTACTAATTCTGGATGTAAGAAGCTGATATTTATGTCAGTTGTCAGCTGAAGGTTTCATAACCAAGATATGAATTTCATGTCCCATCCTCAGGCTCCTACTTTTGCTTAGATTGTTATAGGTTAATAGCAGTAATTTAAGAAAATTTGAGAAAGCAAATGCAAAATAACAAGTCAATTTATTAGTAAGCGGTAGATGAACAATTACGGCGCGCCGGGGGGGCTGCTTAGAACACAACTTGCCCGTTCCTGACTTCTCAACCCTCCTTTTTGAACCCCTTGGGCTCCCGTGTAGACATGCTCAGTACTTAGGTTCTGATTCATCCAGAGTCCGGGGCATGTGCTCTTCGCACATGCTCAGTTGCAAAGTTTTTCCCATACATGTTCCCAGGCAGTGCTTTTCGGCGTCGGTGGGGCTGGGGGCTTTTTGTGGGCTGGGGGCTTTGCGAGGAAGATTTCTCCTCTTCCTCTGTGGCCGCTAGATGACCCCAGCTTGGAATATGCGCATTTAAAAGGTATTCTCCTCCCTTCCCAGGCTTATCACATTCTTAAATCACTTTTGACTTCTTGTCAAAAGGGGAGCCTTCATGTCACCTTGGATGATGTTATCAGGGTGCTGTAAATTATAGGGTCAGACTGCCCCCCTTCCACTATCAACCTTGGGAACAAACGACAGTTTGTTAACAGCATTCCACAGTTATGTGGGGAATGCATAGTTTTACTAAGCTTAAAAAAAGCATTTAAAATGTATATATGTAGCTTTAACAGCCATGAGAAAAATACATATAGAAATTGCACATCCATAGCATAACGTGTTAGTAAGCCTAACAAAAACAATCTAAAAAAATATCACATAGATGATCACTCTGTGCCTTCCAGTTCCTCATAAAATTGATGGTGCATGAGGAGGGAATCACAGGCTAGCAAGCATGCAGATAACATACAGCTATTACCATAACTTTGGTAAACTGTGTCACTGTATAAAAAGTAAAAGTCTTTGTATTATCAGAACCTAATATGTTTACCACTGAATACTACAGAAGAGTTGTGTGTAAACAGAGTTTCTTCCCCTTTTTTTCCAGGAAGTGACTCTCCTAGTTTCGGCTGGGATAGAGTTTGGTTTCTAATTTTTTTTTTTTTTTACTTACTTTTTACAACTTAAAAAAGCCTGTTGTGTTGCATCAAGATTTCCCAGCAAAAGCTTGGAGAAACCACATTTCTCTGTGTGCATGCACAAAATGAAAGAATCTGCATGTCCATTCATTCAAGGTATTAGCTCAGCAGGTGACTATGACAGATGTCAACTTAGTCATTGAGGTAGCTGAGAAAAGCTCTTTATGTGGAACACGTCAAGCATTTTGTGGATGTAACAATATGCGGAATATTTGGTGCTCAATTCACACTATCAGTCTGCTGTCACTCAAACATTCTTGCCCTCTTGTGGGAATTGTTTTGAAAAGAAAGTTAGCACCTCATTAACGTCTGAAGTATGACTTGAAGGATCTGATCTAATGGCTTCTTTCCTTTTACAGACAACCATTACTTTCTACAAGGTGCAGTAGTTGTTGACCATGACTATATTGGCTTCTCTGAAAGGTCCAATAATTCAAGCCAACCAGACTCTGTTGCTGAAGGGGAAATAAATGCCTACACAAGAGATGTCATATCTGCTGTACAGATTTCATCTGCAGCCTGCAAAGAACAAGAATCAACAGACGGTAAACTCGAGTATGAGCTGAGAGAAGATGATTGCATTGAATCAAACACTGCAAAGCCAGAGCAATGGCCTTCACCTCGTTGGACACTTCAGACCAAGATGGAGGATACTTAAGCATAGTCTTGTGTCATTTATGATTGCCAAATAGTTGGATGTAAAGTAGCAGACTGAAAAAAAAAAAGTAATAACTCCAAATTACGTAGCCAAATCCACTTTACTACTTTATGAACATGGGAGTTCTGCAGGTGCCTACTGGTTAATTTGCATGGGTTTTAAGAAGAAAATTCTTTGTTACCAAAAATAGGCACACCCTTGTAAAAGCGCAAGTTTTCATCATGTATTTGAATGTCAGATTATGTTGGTAGAATGGCAGTGTGGCCATGCCTTACTGTTACTCTCTCAGGACAAAATGCCTCATTTCACTGTAATGACCTTTTTTGTTAATCCTTAGATGACTCATTCCTAATGTCCAGTGATACTGTGGGATGAATATAACCTAAGCAACTTGGTGTAAATTTTGCCTTTACTGCAGAGAAGCTTATGTCTTCCTTTTCCTGTTCATAACAGTTTTGTATTCTTTCTAGGAAGCTGCAAACTCTGTCTTTTACAACTTTTAATTTCTAGTCTAACATACAGTTCTAAGATCTCACAAAACAATAAAGATGCTGAAATGAATTACGTGTAATGTTCTGTGCATTAAACAAGGAGGCTTTCAGCTGTTCCCCACTCATCAAAACTCTGCTAGGGTAAGCAATTTTAACATTTCAGGCATGTAAAATAAAATCTTAAGAGCATTCAGTATTCCTTTTTGCTTTTCTTCCCCAAACTTGCAGTTTTCCATTACATTTACATAGTCACTGAGCTTGCACAGGTTTGGAGATTTCCACTGACAGGGAGCTAGGAAAGGTGAACCACTGGCATTAACCTATTCTCTGATTTCCTTGAGTAAGTTTTTACTGGTCTGGACTTCCTGCTGAGAAGACTATTTCAAAGTCAGCTGAACAGGAATTTTTTCATGTAGAAAACTGATAAGTGCAAGTCACTTGTTTTTATGGAGGACTGACACAAAGAGGGAGAAAACTAGCAGAAAACTGAATTGAGAAGTCCACACATTTCTTTCCAACACTGTGGAAGATTTGCTTATCTTGCTCTCTGAATGTGTCTTATTTCTGCTGCTGAATGTCATGGGACTTTTAACACAGGTGGATTAAAGTACTATTTATTATGAGTTTTCAGTTAATCTTAGGTAATAAGAGTGGTCCTCAAGGCTGATTAGGTACCTAACCCCCACAGCAATTCATACCTACTGTACAGTATAACTTTGATATCATGGAATGCAGCTGTGTGAGAAAGGATCCCAGCATTATGAGAGGACCCTTTCTTAAGTTTTAAAGAAAAGTAATTAACACTCAAACTAATTTTTGTCTTTTGAAAATCCAGTCCTACAGATACAGTTTTTCTCCACTGAGACTGTCTCAGAGGGATGGTTCTGGGAGGCAGTACCCTCTTTCTGAATACATTGTATACATACATGGAATATATATATATTTATATATGTATAGCACATACAAAAATAAATATTAGCATCAGTGATAAAACTGGAGAATAAGGCAGTTGTCTGTAAGATTCCTTTCTGCTTTATTAGGTGCAAGAGAACCAGCCCCTCTTTTTTTTTTAGTTCAACTGGTATGTTTCTTAATTGCATACAGTACAGCAAAGCTGTTTTTAGGGGAAGCGAGAGTTGTAGTGTTGTTAGAGCTATACTGGGGAGAGAGAAAATGCTGCAGAGAAATGGGAATGAGCAAAACAAAACAAATCATTTCACATACTGTGTAATGCTGATCGTTCAGGCTTCCTGGCACTTTTGATCTACTGTGTTAACAAGCAGTAATGTCTTGTCAGTGCAGCGAAATGTGGCTTTCCCTGCATGTGGGAGGCTCATGAAATAAAATAGAGGGGTTTCAAGCTTATTGATATGAAAAACAGTCAACGGAAACTGAAAAAAAGCCCTACCAGGAAATGTGAGACACTGCAAGGAGCACAGTGTGCCTGGGGAAGCTTGTGCTCCAGCCACAGTGAAGTGTGTGTTCATGACCACAGTGAGGTGTGACTTGCCCACTCTTGGTTTGTATTTTAACCAACCTAGATAAATACACAAATGTCCTGTACTCTTTCTTACCGGTACACAGGTTTGATTTATGATAGGACAATAGCAAAATTTAATAACAGAATTCTTAGAAATTCTGTTGTGCCCCCTTGTGGCAAGTTGATAACCGACAAGGAACAGAGAGGAGAACAATATGAAAGAAAGTACAAATTTCTGCCTACCTCCCAGCACAGAGCTGTGATCATTTATCCTTTGGGTGTGCTAAAAGCATTAGTTACCATCTCAGAGCTTGATGAAAAACACTATAAAAATATCTGTTAGTAAACAGACTGTACTAACACTCAAGACTATTTCACTGTGGAATGAAGACTTTTTGCCTCTTGTTGGAATACTTACTGAATTTTTTCTATGATTTGCCCATTCTGTGTTAAGGTTTCTGCTTTCCAGCTACAGATGTTTTAAATTTTTTTCCTTCTTCTCCCTAGAACTGAATGTTCCCTGAAGGAGGGTACCAATGAGTCACGATTTGCTTTTCAGAGCAAGCAGTTACCAAATCTGGAAATACCACTTTTGAGAACCAGATAAGTGCCTTTTACTCATTTGCTCATTTGCTTTGGTGACACATCTCTGTCAATGGCCTTCTGCAACAGACATCATTACTGTAATGACCAAGCTTCAGAATTGTTGCACAGTAACATCCTTGGTGCTTTCAAATGGAATTTTGGGGGGACTGCACTAAAATGGGTACATTCACTTAACTGGCTACTTAAAAATAAAATCTGTGAGCTATAGGTTATCTTTAGGCGGTGAAAACTCAGCAAGGCGTGTCAGCAGCTGCCACTGTCAGTGGGCCTGAGAGTTTGGCTGCTCACCTGTGAATTCAACAGAAGGAAATGCCATGTTAGAAGTCCCCAGGACCAGATACAGCTTTAAATTAGAAGGCTAACATTTCCACAAAAAAGATTTAGCAGTGCCTTCAGGAAATGGGTACTGCACTCTTCTGCACATATTAGAAGACCTGATGGCCTGCTGTTTACATCTTGGTAATCAAACAGTGCAGAAATTTGGAATGAAAAACAGTATACAAAAACCCTTAATTTGAAAAGGAAGGCTCTTCCAGACAGAAGTAACCAGACAGTAACCTAATTTTAAAGGATTTGATTCAGGAGCAGTTAATCCTAAGAGATGCATTCCCCAGTCAGTTCTTCCCTCTCCTCTCTCTCCTCTCAACTTGTACACACGTGAAGGGATTTGCAGCAACCTCAATGCACAGCAGAAAGAGGGATGCTAATAAACAAGAAGTGTAGGAAATACAGCATTCCCACTCTGCCAGGCAATGCTGCCCTGCTACAGATTTCTAGTGCAGTGATTCACAGATCACTTGGATACAACTATCTAAAACTGTACATTTCCATGTTCCAGTCGTTCCGCACATGGTCCTTTTCTGGGTGCTTGACAAGAATCTCAAAACTTGCATCAGCAGGGCTGGAACATTCAGAGTGCAGCTCTTGGCAAGCACCATTGCCTTGAATATATAAAGTGATACCTGAATAAGTGAGTTAAAAGGGAATAAATCAGTTTTCACTAATTCACTAGCTGATTGTTTTTGACAATTGATGCCTTTGATCTCTCAATGCCTCACTTCACCCTTCGGTACAGAGTGAGTAGCACCATCTCAGTTTCCAGACAAGCTGCAAAAAATATTCATTGCTTTTCCCAAAGCTGGCAGGCATAGTGATGAAAGCCCCAACAGAAAAGTCCTCAATAACATGAGTTCTATTTTTTTGCAGAATTTCAATGATATGCAGTAAATAATACATGTGGTTCCCCACCAGACTGATTTTGAATGTCTGCCTAGTCAGAAACATCATCCATCACTCCCACGCATTAAAGACTGAGTAGGAAAGCAGAGCTCAGCCACAGTATTATGCTGGCAAGCCCAATTTTTTGTTTCAGAGTCTTAAATTCTGTGTGTTCAACTCCACAGGGAGCCATTAGGTATTTATTTTGGAGCATGCAGTGGCACCCAGGCTTTCTCTGCCTCCCAGCTGGTGCGGTCACATGGTGGCAGACTCAGCCTGTCCCCTGCAGGGGCTGCGCAGGGCTCGGAGGGCTCCCCCATTGGTTCTTCTGAGGCTTTTCTTTCCCAAACTATGTTCGCAGCAGAATTTTTTTCTAATTTTTTGAATCGATAATTATGAAAGCATAAATATATTTCTGAGAGTGAGACGGCCCACAGTTGTGTGAAGGTTGTGTGACTGACCTGTCATGTGAGTCAGGGTACAGTTGTGTGAAGGTTGTGTGACTGACCTGTCATGTGAGTCAGGGTACAAAAGTACTCTGCTTCTGCATTAGGTGATTTGTACCACGGCTATCAAATGTGGCAAACTTGCAGTACAGCTTTACAGCTTCCTAAGAAACAGGCACCTTGGTTGCTGTGAGCAAGATCTCCTTCTCTCTGGAAAAAGGCCATGCCTCCAGTTCCTTATGCACAGTGTGCAACCTGAGAGCCGGCTGGAGGAAATGTGGCAGAACTGTGGGATTCAGTCCTTTTCAGTGCAAGAATTTTTCTCTTAAGTAGCAGTTTTAGGATGTGCCATGGCTGAGGGAAGAAGTAACAAACATGGGAAGGAAGGTATCAAAGTATCAAACTGAGGATTGCAGTGGCCGGGGCAGGGTTCTGCTCTAAAACCTAAATAATAAGTAGCACCAACTTCAGCCTCTTATGGCTGTTGCCTCATCCCCATCCTGCCAAAATTCTTCAATTCTAATTAAAAAGAGTAGAAGAACTACGTTTCTAAATATAGCCTGTAATTAATAATAAATTCCCCAGTTTGCTGAACTATTACCACTATTTGCTAGGAAAAAAAATTGTTCCACTGCATCTTTAAAACAGTACTTTGGCAAAGTGCCCTTGAAAAAGATTGCCTGTGCATCATCTATGTATTTTTTAAAATGTTGTACAACAATGAAATCAGACAGAGCTTCACTCATAGGGTGTTGTGCTTCATATGTGACTAATTAGTAAGAAACATTAGTGGAATGGAGCTAAAGAAAGGAGCAGTTCAGCAAAGTGCCTTCATGACCTGTAGTATTTAGAAAAATCTAATGCAGCTTCCAAATAGACTGCCATGCAGCTCTCCCTTGTACCTTTCCAAATATGTGTGTAACAAAGCCAGCTGGATGCACTTTTAGGTTTTCCAGCCACCATTTCCAGAAACAGCAAGAAGTTGGCTGGTTTTGCTTGGATAAGTAATCTCCAGCTATCACTGGAGATTTTAAATCCTCTACACTGTCAGCTCCTCTCTTTTCTTCTGCCAGTAATGCTTAGGTATACAGATGAATCTAAATTTTTCATCAGTATTAGAGGGGAGTTTAAAGAGCAGTTACAGTGTAAATTTTACTAAAAAACTTTGATAATTCACAATGGATTAAAAAATACTTTCACATTTAAGAACTATAAAAAAGCGTAACAGGTTAAGGCAAATCAGGGGGCTAAAACACCAGAGTTCACTAGCATCTGTTTTACAGTGGCCTAATTTCAACTCTTAATTTTAATTGACTTGAA